AATCATTAGGTTGTACAAGTAGTTATGGCTGTATGTGTGTATATATGCATGTACGGCTGTGTGTCTATATCTGTATGTGTGTGTGTGTGCATAACTATTTTGACTGTGGAAATCTGCACAAATGCATGCTGGTGCTTAGCTGCGTAGCAATATTCCTGGCTAAAGTGTCTTCTTACAACAACAACCCAGTTCCTTGAGGCACTCAAAAGGCACATAGCGCCTCTCGGCAGCAGCGCAACGGCGCAACAACAACCATTAGAGTTGAATCGATTCCTGGAATTATATAAATAAATATGGCAAAAAAGCGTTCAGACGTTTAATTAGTCAAAGAAAAAAAATGTGGCAACGCAACAACATACACATACAAAAAAAAACAAATACAAAAAAATAAAAACAAAAAAAACATACATTTGTATGTATGTGCACGCTGCTTAGGTTGTGTGCTGGAGCGTTAAATATGAAACATAATTCTGGTAGCGATTTTTATGCAAATAGAATTCTGCCGCGTGTTCCAATTTGTAGTGGCTCAAATTACACAACAACATTAGCGCAAAAGCAACAACATTTTACGCGATGTTGCAACACCATGTGTGTGTATGTATATTGTAGCTTTTATATTCATACATATATACATACATGTAATGCAAATGCATGTGCCTCTGTGTGTTATGATAAACAGTAGTTTACTAAAATCGTGCTACATGCAAATATTAATATATTTTAATTCATAATAATTTTAATTTTTTTTTTTAACTCCGCGTAGTAGTTTTAACAATTTTTTCGAGATTATCTTAAGTTTAATTATTATTCACATATATATATGACGCATTTATTAAAAAGTCGCCGTTTGCAAATATTTATACTTTACTGTTATTAGTACTTAGCTTAGCTTCAGCATAACCAACGCAGAAGAAACATAGACGGCTGAACTTGTCGCGCGTGCAAACATGTTTACGTACAGACACTATATATAGCTATATATTTATAAGTATATACAAATGTACAACATGTTCAAGATCATTGAAAAACTTCCCGCGCAAAATGACACGATTTTCTGCCATTAAATCGTAAGCGATCAATAATAACAAACATAAAAGTGTACGGACAGCGATCTGCAGTCTATTTGTTGTGAGTTGCCCGCAGCTTCTGTGCGAACGTGAGTACGTCAAGCAAACGATCAACTAACTACGAGTATACCATTGGCTTGACCGAGTGGCATGAAATGTGGCAGACCTGAGCTCTACCGATTGATCGCTTTATAAGGTTACTACAAATGAAGTCGTAAAATTTCGTTTTACGATTTGTTTACAAAATATTTTGGTTTTGTTGTTAAGTGTCGGTGCGACCTATTAGTTTATTTTATTATTCTTATGTACTTGTATATATACATATAATGGAGGTATGTATGTACATTTAATGGTTTGATGCATGTATAAAGCCGTATTCATTTATTTTTATATCGAAATGTTGTGCATGGGGTCTTTAACCCCTTTTCCATATACCTGTGGAATACTGTTAAACTTTTCCATTTTATAACATCTTTAATTTTTTTTTTAAAGAAGGAATGTTATTGTGCGACAGCTTTTTAATTAATACATTGGTCTCTTCTAAGTTTAGATCTGATTACAAAACATAGGGATTCATTTGTATGGCATCCTCTCACAAAAGCTGGACAAAAACCGAGTAGATTGGGTTGATTAAAAATAACATTTGTAGAATAGGTTCCTACAAAGTCAGCTGTTCAAAATATGCATTTGTTTCCATACTCTTCACCTTCTCACTTGAGCGCGAAGTGGGGAAAGTGGAAACAAGTGCCTGAGGGAAAAATCTAACATACACGTGGAATGGAAATCCATCCACCGGAAAGGTATGACAACTTATGTTAAGGAACAGAACATCCATCTACATTTTATAGAGTTCATTTAATAGTTAATCCGTAAAATAGAAACCAATACAGCTGTTGTGGCTCCACAATACGTTTGGCATGCATTAAATATTCGCGTTTGTTTAGGCTTATGATTGTAGACCGAATTTCGGTCCAACGCTTCAACCGGAGTTAAAGAAAATACTACATATTTCATACCAGAACTAGGCTGCTTGTTTGCGTTTGTATTCTGTCAATTGTCAATACTCCCTAACTACATTTTTAACAACTTCTTAGTTATGCCGATCCCCTAAGAAACGTGTGCGCCTGGAACAAGAATACGCTACATTCTGATGTCTCCTACCTTATGGTAAGGTTGAGAATATTACTGCATATTAGTTGTAGCTGTTAGGAATAATATGAGGTAGCAACATCTTAACATTTTCTTCTGAAATGTCCCACCTTTGCGAGGTTAAGACTTAAATACCTCGGAGCTCACACTTTTAGACATCCTGAGCTGAGCTGAGCTGGTGGGAATAAAAATGAAACGCCTGTGTAGATTTGAAATGGTCCCATGGCTCTTTGACGACTTATGAGATCTCATTACAGAAATTTTTTTTTCAGCTTCAGTAGAAACTGTATATATGTAGTAATTTAAGTGCGATTCCTATTTTGCGCTTTTATACTTAGCCGACTAGCTGTTTACTACCAAATCTTTCCTTGGACCATAATCACAAGTCTGCATTCCACTGTAATATTACCTAATAGCTGTTGAAAAAGCAGTAAACTATTTCAAATAGTAGATGAAACTTACAAGTATTACTACCATGAAGAAAACGGTCTTTTGAGTTATTGAATACACTTTTTACACGAACGAAGGGTGTATGCTCGTCAGTAACTTTTACGGCTCACATTTATGAGCAACTTAGTAGTTTGCTAAATGTGAAAAGAACACACACGTAAGAAGTGCTAGAGCTTAGCATAGTTTTAACAGTTTAATAGAAATTGCATTAAGAGTCACAAAACGGTAACTGCACCAGCTAATTGCCTAGGTTATTACAGTTTTCTACAGATTCTGGGTCATTTACAGTTACATCTGAAATAGCTTTGTTTTGCATGTGACGCGTGATTGCCGAAAGTGTTGCGCCGAGTAAACGTTTTCCTGCTACGAATTAAACTCTTGGCGCTGGACGCATTGCCTTTATGGCAGTGCCACGATGTTAAGACCTGTTTTTTTTGTACATTTCCATAGCACCGATAGTAAAAACATTTGGCCAATTTGCCAAATATTGCAACAGTCCTATACGAGGACACACCAATCTGCTGCTCATAACGCAAATACATATAATATTTGGCACACAACTTTAGACATGCGAGCTGACAGGGGAGGCAGTAAGTAAGTAATGCGCTGCAGTTAGAGATAAATTTTACGCATTGACACTGTTGAGGTTATTTGAAAGTTTGTATTATATGCTACTTGCAGATGGACTATTTGATAAGTATTGTTATTTGTAGATATGTATTTCAGATTTCTTGTCTCGACATCAATACACATATTGTACTATTCAACATATATAGTGGCACATAGGGGGAATGAGATGGGCACAATTCCACTTGTGTTTTCAATGTGCTTAAATTCGAACTTCATTTGATTCGAAGGAACGAGCGGAATACTGCTAATTTTGTGGAATTTATGCGTTGAAAACAATACTACCAAGACAAAGCAGGGAAAGGTGCCAAATAAACCCAACAATTGCAGCAATATCCAACGAAAACAGAACAACTATGTTAGTAAGTAGTGTCTACGTTTACTGCTAAGACCATTGTACTGTTCAGAGCGAATACAGTTGTTTTAGAATGAAGTCGGAATCCAACTCAAATAAGCAACAAATAAATTAGATTAAAGGTATCTAATGTTATTACAGCTGATATGTTTGCGAAAAATGTAAAAGATTCCATACAAGAACTTGATTTTACTCAGTTAGTTTGTATAGCAGCTATATGCTATAGTGGATCGATCTTAACGATATATACGGAGTATACCGCTGCTTTGGGCAATAATCTACGTAAGATTTCGTAAATATATATTTAAAAATAAAAAACTTTGTGTGCAAAATTTCAGTTCAGATAACTCGAAAACTAAGGTAATAGTGCGCGTATATATAGACAGACGAATGGTCGGACGTATAGGCGAACAGACAGACGGTCATGGCTAAGTCATGTTGACCATTTATATATACATTTTATAGGGTATTCGAAATTTATTTTGCGTATTACCATCTTCGTGGCAAACTTAATATATCAGCGTATAATAACATACTAAAATTTCTCAGCGTTTCGGTATATGTGTGATTATCTCAGAACCTGTAGCTCTTAGTTTAAAAGTATTGTTACATTTTTCACAGATAATTTTATGATCTTCAATTATTGTTTGAGATAATGTGCGGCCGAACATTTTTTCCTAATGAGAAATGGGCGAGTTCCGCGACGGTCACACCGGTTTTATTTCTGTTTTTTATTGTTCACTTGTTATCCTTCTTCGGCTCATATGGCCTCAACAAGGTAGCGTCAGCTCACGGCATTAAAGGCTGTGATCGTTGCGCCGTTCCAGCTGATTTTGGCATCGGCTAACTTAGGCAGTACTGACCTACTCCATATTATTTTTGTTCGGCCACGACTTTTGCGTTGCTTCGGACTCCAATGAAGTAACATGCGCTTCATTCAAGCAAGTTAGCTTCACTGAGAATAGCGTTTAGCAAAATCTGGTCGATTAAATGTTTTATGCCCTCAACTTAATGCAGAAACTATACAAACTTTGCTCAGCAAACATTTAGAGCTAACCTACAATTCTCCGCCATGCGATATTTCAATCGGCCGATGGCCGGATTTCATTTGTATTTAAGCACCTTGTTGCGGGTCATACCCGCGTTTATATGCGGTGTTTAAGAGTGCAGACTGTCACTTTTTTAGACCAAATTTTTCGGGTATTTAAATATCGGTATTTTGGTTGACCAAAATATTAAGGTTCCGTGCGTTTTCCTGCTTAAGTTTTTATTGTAAGCTACAGCTTTGAACTTCACCCAAACTTACTGGTCTTGTGTATATTCTTTTGTAATTAAAACTAAATTTAATATTATATAAAAATTAGTAAAGCACACGCAAATCTACGTATCTTCGTTTAATTGGTGTAAATCGTATATCCCTTAGAGCATTCACTTCGTATGTTTGCCCACCAATTTGTCTAACATTATTGAGTTTAAACTTTCTTTGACAATTGGTGCCATTTTTTCTTCCCTTTTTAGGCGTTTTCTTCAGTGGCCACCACGCATTACCAGTTTTATTTATGGAGGATTTCTTTGTACGCTTGAGTCGTTTTACTTTCGGCTTCTTGTTAGCATTTTTCGTGACAGTATTCTTATTTAAGCAAGTAACAGCGAGTCGGTAATAAATGAGTTCACAAATAAATAAAATGATGCCACCTATAATGCCTATAATTAATATGGAGAAGGGTCCCTTTAGATGATCCGTTGTGAGCACAATCGTAGATTCTACAAGAGTTGATATTTTAGATATAATATTATATATAGCTAAATAAAAGTTGACACAGTTATACCTTTAAAGTCTGGTCGCATGCGCGATATTCTATTCAGGTACGTGTTGTTGTAGTGAAAATCGTTTTCAATCTTCTGGAATATGCCGTGATCGCGCATAGCGCCTATTAGCCAATTAAAATCCGGTATCAACGGAAAACCAGCCTTTGTTATTATTTGCAATGGTGTGGAGAACACATTCTTTGGGAATGCGAAAATCTGATCGGCCAATCTGTCTTGCAGCACATACATGCGACTTGCCAATAGCACACGCTTGCCGTTTTTTACCGCGCGCAAATTTACCGAATTCGGTATGAATAAATCGGTATCGTTGTACCTTTCGAAGATCCACATATCTTCATCATTTTCAAACCAATCCTGATTCTCATCGGGCCCACCAAACGGTATAGCAGCTTCGATTACTTCATTGAGGCTATCTATTTGATGCAGATAGCCAGGATCGGTGAATACAGATATCAGCTGCGATGTGTAGATGGCAACAACGTTCACACCGTAAAAGGTTAGGGCGAGAAAGAAAATGCGCGAAGCATAACACTCAGGCCGTTCTTCAACCGTCACACAGATGGAAACAGCCATGGCATTTATACCCGCTAATGAAAAGTCTTTGTGATCTGTCGGTTCGGGTAACATGTTAACAAAGAAATACCAAAATAGCCAAGTAATTAAGAGCAATGCCAAGAAACACCACCATGTTTCATCTTCGAAAATCTGATAGAGCGCAATCCAGGCTGGTCTTGGTTCAGCCAATTTGACAAACCAAGTGTAACTATCGGAGAAGTAACAGGTGGAAGTCCAAAAGTCTTCATTAACTTCGTTGTCTGGATAGAAACCGCCCAGTATAAAGTCGCAGTTACGGTCGATTAGCTTGCCAAGCAGCCCAGTCCATGTGCCATTTTCTTCGCGTATTCCTCTGCTATCGCGCTTACATGATTGCTTGATCTGGAAGTGTATATAATAGCACGATATTTTAACTTATGTTTATGTGTCTAAATAAATTTGCTTACTTAAGCAACTCAATAAAAATATATGATAGAAATTGTTAGTGTTAGGTAGTGATGAGTTGAATTTCGCATATCCGTCCAGCCGTACGTCGGTGCGTCTGTCTTTTACTAATTCAGATTTCGCGTTGAAATAAAAAATTGATACACATGTTCCTTGGCGCTCTAATGGCCACACTTGGAAGATTTAAATCGGCAAATTGCCAAGCCTTATAATTAAAGTCTTGAACCTCAGCAGCTACTCAACCAATTTGAACCAGATGTGGCCAAAACTATTTCTGGCAGCCTTATGGCACAGTTTGAAAAAGAAGGACGAACTAAAATTCAGCTTACTCTCCAAATACAATTTAGAAATTCAAGTGATTTTACACTTTAAAATATATATAGATATGTACAATATATATTTGTAATACTCTAATTGAAATGGCGGAGACCCTATAAAGTATACCTATAAAATAGACTATGTAAATTAGCAGTGAGACAAGCTGAGTCTATTTAGCCATGCCCGCTTGTATCTCGGCGAACAAGTTCCTCAGCTTGTCAGATAGCTAACTAAAATTTTACACACGTACTTTTTTTCACTAAAAGCTGTTAGTTTGCCGGAGACACCGTTAGCGCACTACTATATGATATGAGTAGAAGTTATAAAACTTACTTTGAATTTAAGACGGTTACGCATGAAGTTTATAATACGCAATTCGATGCCCGCGTTACAGTTCTTTTCCACGAACGGCGCTGAAATAGCCGCACACATTTGAAATGTACAGTTTTTCATTTCGATTTCTCTCTCGAACTTGCGTAATTTTCTCTTTAGCTCGGCCGCGCTCGGCTGTGGTAGACCATTCGTGCATTCGCCTATTTTGGTTACACGGATCGTGCGACAATTATCATGACTGTAATAGTCCATTACCGAAAATGAGTACCCGACATCACTGTTAGCATAGAGGAGTGCGATTTGATGCACATAATATTGTTTCTGTAAAAGTGTGAACAGTTCCATTGCAACCGTGTGCTCGCTGTCGCGTCGTATTGGATTATTGTATAGTAATAGGAAACGTGCGCCTGGATTCCATGAATTCATTCTACTAATGAAATTTCTCATGAGCTGCCGCAACAGCTCCACGCTATCCACAATAATGATGTAGTAATCGGTGGAGATGACGGCGTTGTTGCCCATTTTAATTTTCACATATTTCTCTTTGTCGAAAACTGTACGCAGCTGATAGAAACGACGTCCACGTTCATTACTTCGGCTAATGACTTCATTCAATAGCTTTGTAATACCATGCTGTATCTCTAAGGCTGGCGAAGATATGTTGTAGCTGTTCGATATGAGCATGTTGTAGGCACGTGTTAGACGCGCACGATTTGTAAAGGTAATCTTCATGTATGCTTCTAGACACTGTACACCCGAAAGCCATGGTTGCTCATCCAGTTCGGCCTGTGGACGTAGAAATATCACACTGTTGGCTGTCTCCTGGTGTTCGTTCATGAGCGCTTGACAAGGCCAAGCGTTGAGTATATGTAATATGACAAATACGGTGCTCGCGAGCATTCCCACGGTTTGCGCTGTTCTCATCGCGAATTGCAACTGTCGTAAAGTGACGCAGAATTTGATTTTATTGTGGCAAAAATGTTTTGTGGTCTGCTACCATTGCATTGTGGCATGCAACTGTTGCATGTATGCGGATTTTGCATGTGACATTGTTGACTTTAGGCGCTTGTTGAACTGCAATGAAAAATTCACAAGATTCACATACAACATGGATGTTATGAAAATGTACCGTTATATTTAATTGTGGTGCAAATTAAATTTGTATAAAAATATATATTAACATATCCTATCATCTCTGTCAGCTGGTAAGCTCAATACTGATAAATCAATATCTAGTCTCAGTATATGTGACATCAATTTACTCAGATAGAGTGCCTCGCCGCAGTATTGCCGGAAACTGCAAGGCTAAGCAGCTTGCTGGTTTAGGTACTTCAGTGGTTAATTATATTATATTATGGTTCTCTCCAGCAGTAAAATAAGAATGAGTAAGCACACCCTGACTTCTTGCGGTTTACAACTAGGTTTTTTGGAGTGAGTTCAGCAAGCGCTGTCGCCTGCTCCGTCTGACCCAAGTTTAGTCGTAAGTGGTTCCGAGCTCTAATTAAATATTGTTTTCTTAAAGCCTTACCTCGCCATGAAAGCCATCGAGTCACTTCGTGATAAGTATGAGTGTCAGGCCACAGCGAAATCGCAGGCTACTACAAAGCTAATGAGGTAACAAAAAAGGTGACATTAGACCCGCTATCAATTGAATGGATATGAGTCGGAGCTCCGCTCTCTTCACACATTCTACTACTACTACTACTGAATGTTATTACCATCAGTTCTTGTGCTATCGCAAGATCCTTTTGGTCTAAATTGGTTTACAAGAGTGCTAGTATCATCAGTAAGGTTAACCTTAGCCTAGTTGTAGGAGTTCTAGCGCTACCGATGTGCATGTAGTAAGGTTGGAAATGCCAGTTGTGAAAGCTATTTGGAAATAGACGAGTTAGACATCTCAAATCTTTCTTCTTGATTTTCACATCTTTGTCTTTTCGCGGCTAAAATATCATAGATCTCAGAGGTTTAGGCATTACACTGAGTTAGTGAGAATAGAAGTAAAAACTCTATTACAAGAGTTGAATTTTCAGGCTTCACAAATGACTGTATATACTATAGTAGCCCAGTGATATATCCAACTTGGTAATCTGCCTTTGAATCCAACCTAACCTGTATAAGTTGTGTCTTAGAGCTCAAACATGACGATAGCGAGGTTAAGCAGCGGAAATAGAAGTAAAACACATAGGCGTATTTGTGATAGAATCTAGGAGCTTTGTTAAGATTTACTATCTAGTTATAGCCGTTTTTATCTGGCTTCCCAAATAACTGTTTAGACATGTACCCATGTACTCCTTTCTTGGGTGTCAGGCAACTAACCTAACATAATCTAACTTGATAAGTCTTTTCCGCAGTCTATACCCTTTTTATAGACACTAATATCAAACCTGAAGACCAGTTCCAGTTCTGCTGTTGTTAGTCTCACAAATTTTTTTCTTGGTTGATCAGCCATCTAACCTAAGCTTACGTAACAAAGAGATGGTAAATCTTGTTAAGACCTTACCCTTTTCAATGATATGAACACCGAACAGGAGGAACAGTTCCAGTCCTCTTGTCACTAGTCTTTTTCCCCATTTTTTTGATAACTCATGTATTCGAAATTCCATTTTTTTCAAAAATCTTGTATCCAAACATTCTAAACCTTTAAATTATTTGCAGTTATGCAAATCTATTATACTTGTAGACTCTATAACACGTCTCTAACAATGTAACCATTTTTGAGGCATACTTTAAGCTTGTTGCTTGAAGTTACCCGAGCATTCTTAGCCATCTCGTTAAAAAGTTAAAATGTCTGCCAATCGCGGAAGTCATAAAACAAACGCGTCAACTTATTACATTTTCCATTCACTCCGCAATTTCTGCCACTGTTGTAATTAAAGTTAAATTTACGAGCAATTGTCATAGGAACACACACAGCAGCATACAACGAAAGTTAAAATTCAGCTAAGACACGAGTGCAGACAATGCCCGACGTCTGCCGTCCCGACGTACACACGCAACGTTTGGGGCGCATAAATACAGGACGCGTGGAGTAAATCAAGTGGGCGACACAATGCGAACACCACCACCAGCACCACCAATCAGCTCGATAGCACAACTAAATGGCTTTGCTGCATGCATACAATAACAAGTTTAACTAAGCCATCAAAGATGAGAAAATGGTTAAGCATTTCGTATGCGTTCGCACTTAGTAAATATACAAGAAAAACAATGCATATATTTGGCTAAGAGCGTTGCCGCTTGCTTCCGGCAGTCGAAAGTGCTTTTATGTACGAGTACATGGCAAACATTTTTGGCGTTGCGTTTGAGAATGTGGCGCGGCAGCAGCAACGCTGGGTATGACTCATTCGCAGGCACTTGGCGATGGTGATGACCGCCAAAATGACAAGTGGCGTCCAGCAGCAACATTGAAATTGTTGCTGTTGCCAGTTTAATGGCCGCCTCAGCTAATGGTGTTGGTGTCATAACATTCATCTTTTCGCCGTCGTAATATTTCTTAAGCGCCCTGTTTAATTCGGGAAACCGGAGCATGCGTTGTGTGGTTGGCGGCCGGGCGCAAGTAGTTGGCAATACACACAGCAACTTTATGCGTTTTTGTGTCTACTTGCAATAAATGTTTTAATGTTGCCGACAGACAATTCAGCGATAACAGTAACGACTTGATGTGACTTCCAATTTAAGCGCTTAACAGGCGCATCATGCATTAACAAGCGCTTGCTGTGTTTGTTGCCGGTGTTGTTGATTTGTGCTACTCGAGTAAGGTTATGTTTGGATACTGCTTATTGTTTCTCTATTATCCTTAACTAGCTGAATTTTATGTTATTTCATTAAAATTTAGTAACTCTAAAACATTCACTTGACAATACAAGCATTATTAGCGTTAAATTCGCCATAATCCGCTTGATTGGCTCAGTCATTTGGCACCAAGTGTTAGCTTACGTTAGATTCGGTTAATCAAGCTGCTATTTGTGAATGATTCCACTTGGCCAGCTAGACGCGCTGTTCGCCGTTGTGTTACCCAGTACGACTAAGTATGGAACAAATAGTCCATCGCATATCAGCAAAACGACTTGAACTTGCCACAAATTTTTTGAGGCGGCTAATACCAATTCCGGTCAACTTGCCTAGCTCTTTGATGGTGCCTAGATGAACCAACCCTAGTCTAGCGAAAATTCGACAGAGTTGGGCCAAGTGTCTAGGTGTTTCTTCATGCAGTTCTGCAATTTGCGTCTTCCAAAAATCGTCAGCACCAACACATGAATACCAATAGGTCAGTGTGCAGCCAAAACTCTTATCATTGCGGCGAAATGAATCTGGCTAAGAGCAAGTAATTCAATGAAACTCTTATGTTCCACACTGCTACTTGCTAAGCAACGCTTACTGAGCTTACGCTAGGTACACAGTGAAAGAAAAAATGACGTGTCCTAGTGTGCAGAATATCAGGACTCCCAGTAACCCGAAATCAAAACTGTTGAGTGATCCTTAAAGAGGAAGGATGTAGTTATAACACTACGAGAGAATTTTGGAAAAAAAAAATTTCACAAAATGGCGGCTGTCTGAAAAATATGTATTGTTATTTCCTCGTTTTTTTGCCGTTCGGAATTTTTGAAAAATATAAAAAAAAATCCAAAAATCCTTTCGTAGTGCGATAGTATAATGTATAAAAAAGCTCTGTATGAAATTTCAAGTAAATCGATTGCGTAGAAATTGAGATATTATGCACACCGTGTCTAAGAAAGCAGTTCAAAGAAAAACGACTTCAAAGCTCGCGCCGAGCTGGGCGGCGCATCACAAAATGAGCTGTTGCTCCGAAAATAATTGAAATTTCGATAAATCTGTTTAGGGACATTTTCTTAAAGGGTTATACTACAATAATATGCACGAAAAAAAAATCGATTTTTTTTTTAAATTTCAAAACCAGAATACCCCCTTAATGCCATCTGTTTTAAAATATTTTGCAATGAAAAAAATTTCTAAAGTTCATTGTTCCAATAAAAACAACTACAGACGAGTGGTTAGCGTGATTCAGTCAATAAAAATATAAGCAAACTAATTCTGTCAACCGATAGGCACGATATCTTCGATTTATTATTATTTTCTAGTTTAAAATTATAATAACTGTGCTTCTCGACTTATTTCTATACTTCTAATATTACTTATCGGCGGTGAGGAAATCACTAAGTGTATTTGCTTTGCGTCTACTGTTCTACTGCAAATCCACTTGAGTAGAGAAAAATAAAGTAGTTCAGAGAATTTCCGTGCAATTTTATTGGAGTTTAAATTGTATTCATTATTCTGTTATGACAGCTACTGTTAGCAGCATATTGCTACTAACGTAGTAGCAAACAAGCAAAAGCGCAATAATACCATCAATTGTGGCAGGGGGAGGTGTGAGAGTGGGTCGTATATCAAACGAAGTGTCGCGCTCTGGTCTGTTCGCCCAGCAGCCCACAGCTAGCGACTGCTTATTGCGCTTCAAGAATGTATCGGATGTCATTGCGACAGGAACTTTTGGCTGGCAAAATACATTTGTGTCTTTAAGTAGTGTATTCACTGTGTTACTATTTATTTACTTTATATTTAAATATCGATTTTATATAAGACAAATCTTGAACAAAGTTCATCTCGCCGCCATGGTAGGAATTCTCACTGGACACTGTCCAATGGAAACTTATGCGGTACGGCTTAGAATACTACCCGATGCTAGTTGTCAAAGTAGTATGAAGGAGGGTGAGGTGGAAATATTCCGGCACTTTCTTCTCCACTATCCGGCTTTTGCTAGGCTGAGACCAGAAAATTTAGTCGAAACGGATATTGGCCGTCTCAAAAAGTTTAAGCTGTGAAAAACAGAGCTAATGCTGCTAAAAAATTATTACATAACTTTCGAAGTAAGTATGCAAACGACTACGGATATTCTAAGAACCAAAAAAAGCAGTAAACCTAGGCGCAAGATAGCACATCAGATCAACTTTCTGGGTACAAGCCCAGCACAAGTAAAAAAAGACACGTTATGAGCATGTCAACGAAGTTGGGAGAATGAGAGTCGCGGCAGCTGGACGGTCAGTCGTAAATTTAGAGTAGTCGACTTTGACACAAAGCAGCTGCTATTCGGTCACGGATATTTCATAAAGTACCACGACAAAATGGGAATACACAACGACTTGACAGAAACTCGACGCAGAACACATTAAAATAATGTTTGTGATGGCAACGGAAACGCACCGCCGTAGAAGACCTGGTTGGCGCAATACACGCGAACAATTTGATCAGCGTCATGCTGAAGAGCGAAACAAACTAGAGAATCCAGAAATTTGCAGCAAGTTTGTTAGGTAGCAATAAGCGGGACCAGTACACAGACATAAATCTTTCAATGAGAAAAATGAAACGCCACACTGAAGTAATGTAAAAGTGTTTTCAGGGTGGCCGCGGGTTCACTAGAGCGGGGTTTTTTAATAAACTGCAGAGACAGACCAAACAGGCAGCTGAAAAAAAAAAAAAATAACAAAGTTATATTAACGCTAACAAACAACAAAATATGTATTGTACTTTTCTACTACCTCTCTCTTCACCAAATTTGATATGACCTCAAACTAAACATAAATTAAGCATATTTAGTTGGGCTTTCAAGGTATAATATATAAATATATATACGAGTATGTACGAACGTATGCCAGGATATTATTAAAATATAGTACAAATTATTTTAAATCCTCTAACGATATCGTTTCTTTCATCCTATAATTACTTTATTACCAAAAGTGTACTATGTAAGTAAGTCATAGTTCGTAGGACAGCTTGATCAATTGTGACATGCCACAACGTTACTGGTGCGGCACACAAAACTCAGCATTTACAAGTATATTGGCGTCGATTCGTCATGTCTACACCAGTTAGTTCGTTAGTTCACCGCCTCACACAATATGGTAGGGGTAGTGTGCATAATTTGTATATGCTGCCACCCAAATGCAGTTGCCCCGAGAGTATGTTGAAGCTTTTGGTGTTACATAATCGCATTTTACTCATTTAATAATCTGTGAATGTAAACAAATCTTTTGCGAAATAAATTGAAATACTTTTACGTTGCTGTTGCTTTTTAGTGTCGTGAAGGAAATGTGTGTGAGAGAGAGAGAGAGACACACACAAACCGCTAGGCTAAATGTATTTGCTCTTTTATCTTAGATGGCCATTTCCCGTAGACATTGCTAGGTATAAATTGAATTTCTGATTTCATAGAATACTACATAGTTGGCGCGAAGGCAAAAGGAAATGGCAAAGCAGCTGGGAAATGGAAAAGCTACCAAGCCACTAGATATTTTTTTCATTATAGGTTTATTAAATAATTTACAAAGTCAAAGGTTTAAGGGAATGGAGTTTTGCTTGAAGGTAATGAAATTTGCGTACAGCTTAAGCAAGCTGTAACGGTATTAACATAAATATAATATACTTGCAAATTCTCACAACAGCTGCAATATTTAAATGCAAATGTGTGGAAAGAGATTCATTTAAGCGCTTTAGGTTGGCCGACTCAAAAAAGCAGAAATAATTTTTTGTTTGTATACGCCAGTATTGAGAGATGACTACTTCGCTACACGTCTTTTTATTTTCTCTTTTTTTCAAAACCTTTCAACTTAAATTTTGATAATAATCAAGCAGTCACCATACCCAGTTTCCTTGCTTTGAATTATGTTCGTCTCTTTTGTTTGTCCACTTCTTCTGATTCTCGCAAAAGGGTACATTAAGTTAGCCACGAAGTTTCGAAAACCTAAAAGGAAACGGCAGAGACCGCAAAAAAAATATATATATGTATATATATTATATATTAAACAAAATCAGGGTGTTGAGCTGAGTCGGTTAAGCCATGTTCCACTGTCTGTCTGTATATACGCGAACTAGTCTTTCAATTTTTGAGATATACAAATTGACCGATCGCAATCAAGTCCTTATATGGAAAGCTTTTTTATTAGACAAGATAGCTTCGCTTAAATCGGCATAGCTTATTATCTTAAGCAATGCTACAAACTCCAAAAAAATTGTCCAGATCGGACCACTAAAGCATATAACTGCCTTACAAACAAATCGATCAAATTCAAGTTATTTAAGGAAACTTTTTTATTTGTGTAGGGTATAATACTTTCGGTGCAGCCGAAGCTAACATTTGTTTTTTTGGTTTTTGTATTACATTATGTCTTGTCATTTGCGTCCATACTATGTCAGACTAGCCTGTCAAAATCTTTGACATAAACTCATCAAGCCGCAGGCAATCCTTGCACCAGAGTTGTTAACCGAGTAAAAAGTGCTACGACTCAGAAAAAAAGTGCAGTGGCGCACATGATTGAGTATTTTACGCGCTGTCAACTTGCAATAATGTTGCAAATTACAACATATGAAATTATAATATTTCAATTTAGCCTTTTATTGTGTGTTGTTGGGCTGGAAAGCAGACAGCTATGGTAAGGCGGGTAGGGAGAAATTAAATGCATGCATATATATGTCAGCCTCGCGTGCAAATTGAAACATCAAAACAGCAATTACATGCACATTATGTACTAGTTATACATATAACCACACATATGCATATACATACAATATATATATATATATATATATATGTAGGTGAGTGTGTCTATTAATACAGCTGCAAAAAAGAAGCGTGTGGCACCTCAGCGCGTGTTAATTATTATTGTGGTGAAGTTAATGATGTCGTGCAACCGCTTACGGTATATTATTTAATTTCTTTGGTTATATATCTTAGTGATGAAGTTATAATAATTATGGCCGACAGGTGGTGTGTCGCTGCTGTAATATGTAATTATAAATTATATTTATAAACTACAAAAAATAACCTTTATGAAGACATTTATTTTGAGCTTCAACGTTTAGTTTGTTTAACAGCTATATGCTATATTGTTTCGATCTGAACATTTTGTTTGGATATTATGGCGTTGCCTCTGACAATAATTCGTGCCAAATTTCGTGTAGCTATCTTGTGAAATAAAAAAGTTTTCTATACAAGCATTTTATTTTGATTGGTCAGTTGGTATGGCAGCTTTATGCTATAGTTGTCCGATTTGAACAATATTTGCGCAAGTTGTAGTCTTGCCTTGGAAAAATTTTCATGCCAAATTTCTTTAAGATATCTCCTCAAATGAAAAAGGTTTTCTCACGAGTACTAGTTTTTTATTGGTCAGTTTGTATGGCAGCTATATGCTATAGTAGTCCGAACTGAACGATTTCTTCGGAGATTATGGCGATGCTTTGGATAATAAACTCTGCCAAATTTCATGAAGATACCTTGCCAAATAAAAAGTTTTGCATACAAGCACTTGTTGCCGATTGTTCAGTTTGTACTGCAGCTATATGCTATAGTGGTACGATATCGGCGATTTCGATAAATGAGCAGCTTCTTGTGAAAAAAAGCAAGTGTGCAAAGTTTCAGAACGATATCCCTTAAACCAAGGGACTGACGGACCTGACAGATCTTGGAGCTTCGGAGAGCTTACCTTAGCGAGAAAGCAAGAAAAATTATAGAAAACATAATTGCTTAGTTCTGCAGCTTAAAAAGAGAGCTAAAGAGGAATTGTAATAAACGTTTTGCATGTGAGTCGTCAACTCACCTTTTTAAAAAGTGATGCTATCGCAAAACTAATGAAAATTATATAATATAATATAACAGATTAGGCTACAAAAACAGCCGCCATAGGTGAACATTTTGAAGTCATCATATCAATCATATCAAAAACAAAATGTTGAATCGATAAATATATATAATAAATGCGACTAACATTTTTGAAAAGTTTGTGTCATCTTTAGCATTCATCTTACATTGCATTCAACAATAATTATTATAATTATAATTAAATTTTTTTTAAAATAAAATTCACGCATGTCTACTTGCAGATTTTTGCTAAACATCAACACCTCCGCGCCGCTAACCATCAATTTTTCGCAACAGATCGTGCGCAAGCTTTACTTCAATCAAACAAGTGAGTAGCATAATCAGTTATATTTGGCTACTTTTGGGTAGTTTGCCTGCAAGTTAAGTTACGCATACGCCATGGCGTACATTTGCACACAAATTTAGTTGCATTTAATTTTCACGTCTTGCTGCCACACTACTGTTAATTCTACATTACACAACTCATACTCTGCATTACACGCCATCTCCATCTCTTTACACGCCCTCCGCAACTCCAACACCGCTTGCTCTTGCATGCAATTTAACTGCACTTTCATCACTTTGATGTGCGCATTTGCATTTAACTTTGCCTGCAACGCTCGTCTCCTTTCGTTTATTATGCATTCAACGCTTTACTTTGCCTTCACTTCGCAGTAAATTTATCGCGTTCACTGAAATCGGATCAGCGCACGGTGGTGCTGCCTTGTGCTTTGCGCGGCCACTATGATATCTTTGTGCAGGCTCGTCAGCGCGGCTCTATCAAAATCGAGGCGCATGCCGCACATCCGCAGTCCAACTGGCCGCTGCTTAATCGCACGCATCACATACGCATACGCACACAGAATCTGGTGCGCAATCGTCAAATGATAGTCAAGTGGGACAAGAGGTGAGTGCAATACACTAACTACTACTTACTTATTTACATACGCAATGCTTTAACTGTAAAATATGCATTGATCACTGATTGACTTTCTTCGTTCGGTTGGCTACCGCTCGCCTTGCGTTGCAGTAAATTCGATTTCCATGCGGTACATTACTGCCTGGTGGTGAACACACAGCGGCGTCAATTGAATTTCTGCAACGCCGTCAATGACTACTTCATGAGCGCAACGGCGCGTGAAAATGTTGGTGCGCCAGCCAATTGCTATCCGGGCTCTTTGGTGGACCACATATGGTTAAGACCACCGGAGCGTGCTAAGAAAATTGGTGAGTCATCACATAACGTTGCGTTTGCTTGTAATTGCATTGCAGACACATATCTCATAAACCGCATATATATATAATATTTATTACGCACGCAGATGTACGCAACGTCAACATTATCTGTACGGGCGCTCACACACAACAGCTGCTGCGTGGTGTGCTACCGAATCTCACATATTACTTGGATATATTTGGAGTTCATACACGCCGTCAAAATCTCACCTTTCACATTGCCTCGACACAAGTGGATTATAATCGGACGCATCCGGTTGCGCTGAGCGACAATATGCTGACCATGCGGAAAATATCGGGACTGAATGGCGTGCAGGTCTTCAGTTTTAAAGTGAGTATGAGTCATAAGAAGAGTGATACACTGACATTTTTTTATTTCGTATTAATTTATTAAGAGTATTAGTACAGAAATTTATTTTCAGTTTGTTATAAAGAAAACGCAGTATATTACGCATTTTAGTGAGGATTCATGTAGCGTTCGATAATAATTTTCCAAAATTTACTCATGTTTCAATAAGCATTTGATCGCATTGTTAAATTATTTATTATAGTATAGCACTAGTAAAAACAAATCTATTATTTTTTGCAATTATTTAAATGTTTTATTCAGCATAGTCAGAATGATGCAATTTAGGTCGAATATGCAACATTTTGTTCGATAACTTGTTACCATTTCGATGACAAACAATCGTTCCCTTCATGAGACGAATTTGTCACCAACAAACCCGCCGTTCGCCATAGACAGTAATGGCTCGTAATCACTGTTTGCCAGCTCTGGATTATAAAGCGGATGCACAAGAGCCACGCACCCAAGCTCGCGAAACTAATTGCCAGAAGTTTGATGCGTGTGGCTTGGCGTATTGCTGACGGAACACAATTTCTATCCTATTGGCCAAAGCTAAGCGCTTCGCTTCCTTGAGATAGTCCAGTTGTTGACAGTACAGGTCCGAATTAAGTGGAATGTAGTAGATGATTCCAAAGTAGTAGATATTTCCCTTTCAATCCCACCAAACACATAGCAAATATTTCCTAAGCATAAATTTTGACTTGAATTTTGTTTGCGTCGGCAAACCACGATCCGATCACTACCGCTTTCGCTGGATATTGTCGTAAGTGACTCACTTTTCTTGCCCAGAAACCGACCGCTTCAGAAATGGAGCGATTTTGTTGTGATTCAGCTGGGATTTGCAAATGGAACTACGGTTCATGAGCTTTCCATGCGTTAGCTCGCATGCCACACATACCCCGAGCTTCTTTGGTATCGTGCCTTATTTAACTGGTTTTTAAGGTATTATGTTTAGCAGTCGAACTCAAAATCGATATTTTCGACAATTGGCCTACCAGAGCAGACTAAGTGCAACTTTAACGTCAAGATTTCATAGACGGTATTGAAAAAAGCAGAATTGCACAGCATTGGCTTTTACGGTAGTACCATAAACACTATTAAATTTTTCTGACGCCTGGCTTGCATGTTCGCCTTTATCGAAGAAGAACTGCAAAATATGGTGAATATATTCTCTTTACTTTTGTGCGTCTTTGACGCAAGCTCAAACATTACTCAGTCATTTAGTCACAAAACTGTCTGTGAAGTTTCTTTAGTACGAAGTCTTATCTTTCTAATGTTATAAAACTTAAGCTGATTGCGCTTATAGAACGCGTGATAGAGATTATTAAAGCCAGCTATTTCCGAATGCGTCTCTTTTTAGTGAACTCGAAATGATATCCTTTCTGCCTTCTGTTCACTTTGGTATACTTAAAAACAGATTTTATTAAGCACTTCCAAAACAAAGTTTATAATATATACAATTCACAGGTTCCTGGAAAAGAAACAGCTTTGTCAGCTGCAGCGCTACAGCTGCGCTATCTAATAGTGCCGTGCGGCGGCAGCGAAATCGATATAAAAATACTGCGCAATCGCACACTCATGGGAAATGCGACCGGTATATATAGGCCCACATATATACGTTTATCAGAGGTGTATAAGGGCCAACGGTATATAGCGCGCTTTACGCCCAGCAACGAGGATGAGACGCTGCGCGCACACAAAGTGGGAGTAAGTAACAGCTGCCATGTCCACAAATTTAAGTTCCATTTATACCAGACATATTTTAATGCTCCCCAACAGCTGGCTGTCACGACAACTGGCATCTTTCAGCATCTGCCCGAGCTGCCGGCTGATATAACCGTTTTTGAGGTGAGCACACGCTGCGCCTTAGCGACTATTGCATGGTACAGTTCGCCGGACAGTCGAACAATAAGGTGTGTATACTAGGGACTAGACTTGATAGTTACAATACAATTTGCACTGCCGTATAATTCATGTATCTTTATCTCTGCAATTAATACTTAAACACAACCTTTTATTTGTTTCTTTATTACATTTGCAACATCATCAACAATGAAAACCACATAATTGGAATGCGCATCTCAATCGACGTTGCGGTCTCAACTACGATATGCAATATGCCATCTAACTACTCGTGCTGCATGAATTTGTATTGCGGTTTTCGTGGCCTGTTTATGCCATAATGCTTTGCGAAATACGCGTTCGCTGTGTGTCGGCCGTGTTGTGGGTGGTGTCGTATCTTCTTCGATCCGTATGGCTGCCTACATCCGTTCGATAACTGTATGTTAATTGCGCATTTGTTTGTGGCATTCAGGTACTGCATAATTGTGTTCAATTTGCCGCAGCGTAATCGCAGCTCCATCGATTACACGAACTACTGCCTCGACTTTGGCAGGCGCGTGGTACAGCATCCGCTATTTCAATCCATTAAATGCGTCGAACGCTCAAAGAGGTGAGTTGTTTTTTTGCTCATGTTGTATGTAGCGGTAGATCGCTACATAGATAGATAGATTGCGGTAGTAAATTATAATCAATTTGAAACACTAATAATTGATATAAGCATCATTAACCCGAAAACTTGTTTGCCCCACTAAGTCAATGTTTTAAAAAGGAACGAAGCCAGCTTGTTTAGACTAGCGCGAATAGGAATTTTTCAGGTGGGTATACTGTCGGCGCTCCTGTGGTCTCTTGTAGCAAATGAGCTTCAGAGAAAATTTGAAGCAAGCGCACTCAAACTGATAGCCTATGCAGGCGACATAGTTATACTAGTGGGGCATGTGCCTGGACATAATTATTACCGTGATGAATAGTGCTCTAAAAGTCATACACCAATGAGCAATAACGGGTAACCTTTACAAGGTGGTACAAGATCCCGTCATGGAAGCAGCTTGGCTCAACGGGTTACTGTTAACTACTAAGGATCATAGCAAATACCTGTGAGTAATCTCGGGAGCGAAATCAGCCGCAAGATTGGCGACGTTAAGTGAATTTTCCACAAGAACCTTCGGGCATAGTTCGATAAACAGGCAGTCAGTGCATAGAATAGATCACATACACGCACGCTTTATCTGGTAGAGAAGGTTTTAAGTCACACTAAAAGAAGGCGACCCACCAGCGGTACTTTCAACATCTACACAGACGGTATAAAAATTGCTGATGTAGTGAGCGTCGGGTTCAATTGCGCGACGTAGATCTCAGGCAACCCTTTAAGCTGCCGGAACCCTGCAATATCTTCCAGTCAGAAGTCATTGTGGTTAGGAAAGCTGCTAATAATAATAGCTAATAACTCAGCATTTCTTCTATAAGAAATGCAGCTGTGAAAGATATGAAATGATATATTATAGCTTCCTTGCAGCCAAGGTTTAAGTTTTTTCTTATTTTTAAATAATAACCAAAATAGTATGGCTACTATTACAACATAAATATATAATTAAAAGCCAAAAACATTTTAACAAGCCGCAATTTAACTGGAACTCCATACACATTTCATTACAGCGCTCCACTCGAAACGCATACCATATTCAATCTGACACCAGGTGAAACATACCTCATCTATGTAACGGCGAATCTCAACGAGGGCAGACCGCTGCCATACCAAACACTGCGCATCACAATGGGTCATCGGTGCAGCAATGAACTACTCGATTCGCGAGAGCCCACCACATACTATTGATTGCACGGCCAACGCGGTTCCTCCTCTCCATATCGTGAGAGACAATGGCGAGCAATTAACTAAGACAGAATTGCAATATGCATTTGCTAATGTCTACAAGCATATATTTGTATTCAATTATTTGCAGCTACTGGCCGATTGAGTTCACTCATAAGTGAGCTTTAATGCATGCCAAATGAAAGTCGCACAATTTTGCTTGTAAAATATTTATATACAAAACACCCACATGCATAGCTAGTATATAAGTGAGTATATGTTTACTTCTATTTACATATATATATATATATATATATATATATATATACAAAGTAATTGCCAGTTCAACAAGCTAAGCGCTAAAAGACGTAAGCCTCCGCCATTAAAATATTGCTAAAAATATGTATATGAATATAGTTATTAAAACGCAGGTTGGTTAACATGTATGTTGCCTACATTTAGGCGCGTGGTATACCTAATGGGAAACTATATGAGATCTAATATGTATATGATTTAATTTTTTTTATAAATGATTAGCGTTTATATTATAATATTTTTTTTTTGTTCTTATCACCGTTACATCTCAACCTCGTGTAAGATATATATAATATATAATGCATGTGCTTTTTTGATAAAAAATTATAGACAAGCGCTTTTAGAGGGAATAAATTGAATATCCACACTTTTTTTCTGATGCTTCTACGATAGAAATATTTGTCCAGAATTTCAATTCGACTATTAGTGATCTCTAAGGTTCAGCTTTAGATATAGCATACCTTAAGGCGCTTTCCATACTTCCAAATATAAAATTTCAGAACCTTTTATATTGTTATATTCTGAACAGTTTGATACTATCAGCATGACGAGCTGAATCGAGCTATGTCCGTCTGGCTGTCTGTATATACGCGACCTAGGCTCTCAGTTTTCAAAATATCAAACTGAAACTTTGCACATGTCTTTTTCTCCACAAGCAATTGCCAAATTGTTGGAACTGTTGATATGATCGATCAAAATCAAGTCCTCCAAGGCGAAGCTACAATATCTGAGCAAATTGTTAAATCAGATCACTATAACATATAGCTCTCATACAAACTGGTCGCTTAAAATCAACTTCTTGTATTGAAAACTTTTTTATTTGACAAGATATCTTGATGAAATTCGGTGTGAACTATTTTCCAAACCTAATCTACAATATCTGAGTAAATTGTTCAGATCGGACCACTATAGCATATAGCTGCCATACAAACTGGCTCAAAATCAACATCTTGTATTAAAAACTTTTTTATTTGAGGAGATATCGTTACGAAAATTGGCGTGGATTATTGCCCAAGACAACGCTATAACCTCCTTACAAATTGTTTAGAACGGATCACTATTACGTATAGCTGCTATACAAACTGACCGATTCAAATCAAGCGCTTATATGGAAACATTTTTATTTGTGAAGGGTATAATAGCTTCGATGCAACCGTGGTTAACATTTCCTTTTTCTTGTTTTCTGTTAAAGTCCTCCCTCAGCATTTAGCACAGCACTTGAACAGTTCTGTCTCCCAAGTATTGACATATGTACATATATAGATATTCCCACTGGGTAGCCACTACTAGTAATAGCTGCTAAGTTATACAAAACATAATGTAATTTCAGCTAGTTTAGCTTTAGTTATTATATTAGTTAGCTTATTACTTAAAGAGAATCGCAAGTCCACTGCGGTATCGCATACTGCGGTATATATACCACTTTGCAATCCTAAGTTCAAATTTGATTTGTAAGCCTTAGCTTGGTAAGCAGTCTAGTTTTAGTGAAGGCCTTTGCTATACTTCCTAAGCTTGTAGTGTTAGTTTCTTATTGTGATGTGTTAAGTTTAGCTCTTTATAATGTTGTTGTAATATTGTAATTTTGTTAAGCATATTTTATATACATATGTATGTGTGTGTTATGTTGCTCTGTGAAAGGTTTAAGTTCATTTTTTTTTAACGTAATTAAACTAAACTAAAACACAACTTAGTAACTTAAACTTAAAATCCGATAATCATGCATTAAAAACAAAAAAAATATATATATTAAAAAAATACAACAATTAAAAAAAAGTTTAAAAAAATATTAAAAATAATACAAAAACAAAATGCATTCGTACGCCATAAAATTAAAGTGAAATCCTCGCGCCGCACACATTGACAATAACTTGTTCATATATTTGCTAAAATTTGCACATTTATCCAACGTATATAAACCCTAAATATATACATGCGTACATAGCAATATGTATATACTTATATACATAAGTACATATTATTTCCATAATCCAAGTAGCTTACGTATGAATAACTGTGTATTTACCAGCATTTACCCAACCGCCGTAGTCATTCGATTATCTGCTGAAACTGCCAAACAACAAAAAAGAAAAATAAATAAAAAATAAATATAAAAAAAATTATAATAAATAACTATTCATACATATAAACATGTAACAAGTCTATATGTATGTGGAACGTAACTATTTAGATGGAGTTTGATCGCATTAACGCAATTTTCCTGTGCCCGTCCTCTCGAAAATGCTAAATAATTCATAATAATCAATCAATTACAAGCGACACTTTGGTGTTTCTATGCAATAATAAAAATAAAACGATATAATGAAGACGAATTATGGTTTTATTTGTGTATGGCGTTCGGGAAGTTTATGTAGTGCAAGCGTTACTTTAGGATGTTGTATACACTGGAGTTGAATGAAGAAAAAAATCTGAACTGTCAACTCAAACCCTGATGAAATGATCCAACCGCAAGCTGATACACTTTTAAAGGTTTATGAGATATATACAATACAACCTTTTAGAGCGCGAGATCACGTGAACTTTTTAAAAAAATTTTAATGACATATGCGCCTTCATATTTTGATGTCCAGTATCCACTTAATTATACAGGTTTGTACCTTAATTTACAGACTCATAATAGCTTAAAGGGTTTCGTTACTTAATAGGTTTTCGTTTAACGGCATTTGGTGGACGACGGATTTCGTCCATTGTCAAGTAACACCTTTACCAAGTTTCAACAAAATATCTCTATTATTACTAATGGCTAGCCTGGACCGGCGGACAGACATATAACCGGAATTTGTTTTGTCTTGTCATCTTCAAAGTTTTGATAGATATATTTAGCTCTACATCTATTTCGGAGAATCCCAGATATGCAGCTTTCTTTAATATATAATAGACCTCAACAAGACGGCAATCTCTAAAATTTCAGGAAAGTTCTCACTTGAGGTCTGCGAAAGCATTGGTTATCTTAGCAAAATGCACAGTCTACTTTGATATATGGACTAATTAGACTGCGTTATAGATATGAACTAAATCCCATTATGCTAAAACACTGCTTGCATATAATAATGTTTCTGTAAAGTACCGAGAGTGTAAGATCTATAAGAGTTTGTACAGATTTTTCAACCGTCTGTTTTATTTTTTTTGTTTTTTTTTTGGTGAAATAAGCTGATGGATTTAACAAATGGTTGAATGAAAGTATACTTGCTGTAGATGCTGTAACAAAGGATCTTGGTGTTTACTTACAATCTGATATGAAAATCTAGTGGAAACATGACCAGTTTTGAATTCTTATACAGTGGCGTAATATTCTTGGAACAGAATTTAACTTTGCGGTTATAACGATTACATACTAACAGCACTTCAATATTTCGAAAAAGAACCAATTGGGGGAAAAATTTCCACCATATGAATATATATAATAATAACCCATCTTCGATAGTTTAGTTTCATTTGAAAAAGTCACAAAGTGAACAATTTTTAATGCGACGATTTCAATCATGATTCTTGGTTAGGCATAACCGAAATTTTCGCAATAACTTCTTATTAACAACACTGCGAATATTTTGATATTTATATTATACAAACACATAACGTTTTAGTACGAATGTATAATCCATAATCCATTATAATTATTGATTTTCATTTCCCGACATTTAACGTTTCCAATTTAAATGCAATTCTTTACCTGAACAACTGAATGCATGTGAAAATGTTTGAAAAACCAAAACTCGGAAATTACACGTTTCAAAACCGACAACAAATGCTACCGCTAGCTGTCAATGATACACTACATGACCGAGGCAATCGAACTGACCGCAATAACAGCAGCACGAGCATCGCCGCCTTTTGCCGCTGCCGAGTTAAGCGAAATTCCAATTACCATCAACTCATTTCGGTGCAAAACATTTTGTGATTAATTTCGCCAATTTTCGCCGAGCGCATCAAAACATGCAAATGTAATGGATCCTTGATATGGCCGCAAATGGAAATGCCTTTTGGTTGGGTGATGTCGGTCACACTAATTATTATTACGATATTACTTTTACATAACAGCAATGTAGATTTCTACCATATGTATTTATGTCGCTATTTATAAAATACTGTGTACTCTATGTGGTCTCGGCTGTTCGGTTATGTGATAAACGATTTATGGTAGGCGTAAAAAAAGGACAAAAGGAAAGCGCAAATGCAATGTGTGAATGGAATTCCATGCTTATTTGGCTCAACAGCCACCGACAAGCAGCAATTTAATGGCACTAATGTTGGCATGAGTTTCCGATGTTCTTTACTATCCAATCAACAGCTGCAAGCCGGTGCTTTGAGACTCAGTGTACACACGTTCCATAGTATTAATGACGCGTTCGCTTTCTTCGTGCATTCTACTAGGTATTGGATGGCTTAACTTCACGAGAACTTGACTAGCACCTTGCTGATATTAGTTCTTGTGGAGTGAAAAGATATTTTTAGTGCAAAAGCTCCAATAAGCTCTTCGCCATCAGTAAGGTAAGCCTTTACATGATTCTTAGGGTTTTAGCTGGTCATTGCATTAGCGGCGTCCACGTGGTACTTTTCAGAGACTTACCGCTTGCCTGTTGTAGAAGCTGTTTGAAAGAAAATCGGTTAGAAAGGTCTCAACACTTCTTGCTTGATCGATGTTTAAATAGCTCAGAGCTCACACTTTCACAGGCATCTCGCTGCGCTGTTGGCAATAGAAATAAAAGACCTCAGCAGATGTAGCCACAAAGCGCTTTGTCGGCTGAAAATATTTGCTTATAGTGGTTCTTTTGCTGGCTTTACAAAGCACTGTATATAGTGTAGTGCAAGTGCGTTTCCCATCTTGAAGATCAACGAACCCAAACTAACCTAAACTGTAAGTATTAGCCGCATATGCCTTTCTTACGTATAGACGACTCAGACTGTTTATCAAAGCTAACGTTAGCGGGAATTTGAAGTTGGAATCCGAAGGAACTGCCTAGCAGTGGAATTTTACAACAACGAAAAACTGAAGTTGCTATTAAATTGACGAAGAGTGTCTTCCCAGCAACGGCGCTACATATTTATTCTCTCCCCTGCTAGACTTTATTATTCTGCTGTATTTACACTTTACTATATTTTATTTTATTCTGCAGATTTTCCTAACTTTTCCATAAACAATTAGTATTGTGGGCGAAAAGACTAATTAAATACGAATGAAAAAAGATAAGCGAGCAACTATTAAGGCATATTTCTATATTAATCCTGATTATGTCAAAAAACACTGATAAATTAAAGCACTACTTTTGACAGTAATTGTGCCAAGAATGACTGATAAAGTGACACAAGCGACTCTAAAGAGCCGACGTCATAAAGTTATGGAGCAGCTAAGCATCTGTATGGCATATTTATATTAAAATGCCACGAATTTATTTTAGTCGACAACTACCGCTTGGCTGTAACGGTGCTATTTATTGTACGGATAAAATCAGCATTCGCGTCGGAAAATTGTCGAATTTGTGTTTATTTTAAATGTTCAAAACTGGTATTAAATTTAGGTTAATGAATGAGGGGAAAAAACTTTTTATGAAGATCTGGATTTTGAACAATCAGTGCTATAGGGGTTCGATGCGAACATTTCAATCGGATTTTATACCGTCTGACAATAATCTGTGCCAAATATCGTGAAAATATCTCGTCAAATAAAAATATTTTCCTTGGCTTGATTTTGATCGGTCAGTGCGTATGACAGCTATATGCTATTTATAGAATTTCGAACTAAACAATATGTTCGGAATAATTTGTTTGAAGATCCATGTCAAATTTCGTAAAGATATGTATCTTTTCAAATAAAGCAATTTTCCAAATATATTTGAAGATTACAGCATTTTTCTGGAAAATAGTCCATGCCAAATTTGCCGAGTGTTATCTTATCAAACAAAAAAAGTTTCCATACAACGACTTGATTCCGCTCGGTCAGTTTGTATGGCAACTTTATGCTATAGTGGTCCCATATTGGCGGTTTCGACAATTGAGCAGCTTCTTGAAAAGAAAAGCACGTATGCAAAATCTCAGATCAATTGCTCAAAATCTGAGTGACTAGTTCACCTATATAGATGAACATGGCTAAATCGAGTAAACTCGCTACGCTGATCATTTATAAAGGTTGTTTTTTTAGACAAGTGATTTTCAAGAAGAACTAAAATGCGAATAATTTCATGTTTTGGTCCAAAAAAAATTTTTTTTTATAAAGATACGGGCTTCCTTGTTATTTCTACTACTGAAAAATATGCGCGCTTGCTTTGACAAAGGCCACCTCACTATTAGCTAGTTCCAACCATCACGGTTTTATTTAGTCCTTATTTCACTGACATTGTAAAGAAAGTAATATCATCCTAATCAATGTGTTGTTTAAATCTTTTCATATTTTCGAAATAACAATTCACACAAAACCGGTAATTTTTTGGTAACCTCTTAGTAAAGTACTAACTAGCGATACTTGCTTCGCTTGTTACAAAATATGGCATTCGTAGTTGAAAATCGTAAATTCATTGACAACGCCATACGTCAGTCCAAAAATACGCTCAAAGTAAGCGGAGAGCAGTTATTTGCTAGTAATATGGCTGTGGAGTATGGCAACAGCAGAAATATCACTGAAGAGTTTAGCAGGGCGACATTTCTCGGCATATTAAAGGAGGATCTGCTCCAGCTAACTGCCACCGAGCGTATTTCATTCACAACCGTTATGTCGTTGTTGCTGATTATATCGCTATGTGGCAACATCTGCTCGTTGCATGCAAACATGCGACGTCAAATTCGTCCGTTTTTTCGTGCTTGCCTCATATCGTTGGCGTTTAGCGATTTGATTAACACTACCTTTCTCACAGCGGCCTATTTAAGTCAAATATCACAGGAATTTGTGCAAGTTTGGGTAAGTAAGCTACTGCATATATGGTTTAGTTTGAACGACTTGTTAGCGCTAGAAATAAAAGTGTTGCTTTTAATGTTAGTATATCGTTAGTACGTTCGATTTTTCAGATTCTCGGTCGCGGCATGTGTCATGTGGTGCCATTCATCACCAATGCTGCGATTTTGGTGAGCTCCATAACGCTTGTCGGCATAGCAATGGATCGTTATTTTGCCGTCATGCGTGCGGTAATTAGTTTTTGGAATCCGGGTGTCATTTTCTGTGTGCTCAGCATGCTCAGCTTATGGGTAGCGGCCATTGGCGCATCGTGGCCAGTGTTTCGCGTCTATGAATTATACCCCGTTAAGATACTAACGAGGCAAATGATTCCTATACCCGACAACACTACAATTGTCAGTGTCGACTCAGCTACTGTAACAACCACAACAACAACAGCAGAATCTGGAACAGCCATGTCAACGTTATATGAAACCGCTGCCGAAGCAGTTACAACCAAAGCTTGGAAACAACAGACCGCCAACAACAATCAGTCTTACGCGCTGCTGATAACGACTGAGCTGGTGATGATGTGCATATCCAATCAGGTGAGTATGCGTTTGATTTGCAAGCGTTTCGATTTTTGTGTATGTGTGCGAAAGAATAGTGATGTGCGTGTTGCGTTAGGTCGTTTGTGTGAGCTGTGTCGGCTGACGCCGCCGTGCACCCGAAATGCGCAGTCATCTTCGCTGCTCATTGCTGGCACTCACGTGCCGCACATGTATGTATGTATGGATGTATGTATGTTGGTAGAAATGTATACACAACTGTCATTTTGCCAGCGAATTCGTTTGACTGCTCTAATTAGTGCTACCGACGACAAACGAGGCGGTCACGCGTCAACCCCAGACGCAATACTTTGTGAAAATGTACGACAATAACCGAGATACCAAGGTATCGACTTTATTTAGTATGGTTCTGTTGACTATCAATTTTTTCGAGTTTATCTCAATGCTGATAAAAACGATATTGTTTATTATCAATATTAGTTAGTCGTATGAATATTAAATGAGTTGGCTCTATATATACATATTTATATATACCTTTCTGTTCAGACGTCTACGTAAAAAGTGATTGTGTACGTATACTTACCATATATAGGGATGTATAGGGATATGTAATGAGCACCTAAAAGCAAGTCAAGCTTATAAATGTTTTCTGCGATTTTGCGCAGTTAGTTCCAATGACAGGTATATCGGTCGTTCTGAACAATATGCTTGGAGATTATAGCGTTAACTTGGACAATAATTTGTGCCAAATTTCATGAAGATAGCGTAAATTGAAACGATGTCTGGTTGAAAAAGCCGGTTATTACCATACAATTTTTCGCCCAAAACATATAGGTTAGGTTAGGTTGGGTCGCAGGGTTGCTCCTAAACAATAGATCTCACTTGTTTGTACAGATGTTTGTGTTACTCATAAGCTCATAAAATTTCTTCCTCATAGATCGGCGAAGCATTTTGAGCTTAACACAAATTTTTTAAGGCAGTTAATATCAATTCCAAACCACTTCACTGAGTTCGCCGAAGGTATTTGTACCGAGATATTTCAATCGCAGTCTGGAAAAAGTCAGGCCAAAGTGCCTTCCTCCATATAACTCTGGCAAAGAGCGTCCTATAAAATATTTACCCACACATTTTTGGACCTCTTGGACAGTGTCCAGTTAGAACAGCTAGAATTGCGGTGAGATTGACTTTGCTAAGACCAAGTACTTCGGAGGAGTTCTTATGGTAGCAGCTCAAATCATAATAGATCAGCCATCATTATTGCGCTTACGACGCGTTGCCAGAGGGGTCCCAAAATCGTGTCATGACATATGGTAACACTGCTAACCCTAAGGGCCATTTAACTCAACCTTTTATCATGCGAAAATTTCAAAATTCAGAAGTTCAAATTTTATATTTTTCTACAGATGCCAAAGGGCTAAACAGTGACTCGGAAAGAGTTTTGGAACTTTATTATTATTTAGCAAAAATTTCAAGGTCCGGTCTTAAACAAAAACAAGTTGAACGAGTTAACAAGAAGCCAGATATACTTACTGCTGACAGATTACACTTCAAAAAATAATGCTTGTTCCCACTTTCTATCTTTACAGTCATCTATTGCCATGTACTACTTCGCAATATTCGCCATCATTTTCGTGCCCACAATAATTGCTTTTATATGGATTAACTCAGTGATTGCCAAGCAATTGTGGAAACGTCGTCATACCGTTGCTACTGTCAGCAAGACGCAGCGTAAAAGTTGGTGGCGGCACCTCTCCTGCAGGTGCTTGAGTAAATTTGAAGACGTTGAGCAGAACTTAAAGGAGCAACCAGTCGACGCGTGCGAACAACCACGCAGTTGCGCTAATATTTCAAGTGGAGTTGGCACTAGCACGATGGATACTTGCATCAAAATACCACAACCAATTCAGTCGAGCATAACCAGCATTGAACAGTTCATTTTGCCAAGGAACGCTGCAAGTTCTGCGTCTACAACTAAGTACAGCAATAGCAATGAACGTGCAACACGTCATATACGCATGTTTAGCGTAATCATTACGTTAATTACCGGGTTTCTCTTTTTGCGTTCGCCCACCTGGATTTTTCTGCTACTGCGCATAAGTGGCGTCTATACGGGTCAACGTCCAATAGTTTTGCATTACTGTTTCGGCATTCTCAATATAACCAATTCCATGCTGAATCCCTTCTTTTACACCTTTCTAACGGAGACAATAAAATGTGCGCACATTATTAAGGTGACTTTCGGCTGCGGCTTTTGCAGTTTTCGATTGCGGCAGCAAAGCAAACAGCACGTCGCTACGTCTCCAACGGCCGGCTCTGTGGCTTTGGAAAAGGATGGTTGTACAAATTTGAAGGCGCCGACTGGCACGTGTTGTGGCAGCTTCGGTGTAAGTAAAATGACCGCACTTGCTCGAACTTTGTGTTGCAAGCCTTCTGCGCGCAAAAGTAGCGGAATTACCAATCTAAGAATTCAATCGTTAGTTGATAAACCGAACGGCGACAACGAGTCACTTGGCAGCGAGCGGGATGAAGGTGTCGATTGTAGCGATGCTAACTGTAATAGCAATGGCGAGCGTGACACAGTGAATGCGACTTAATAAACCGGTCTAAAACTGTGGAACGTATTCAATTTATGTACTAAATGAATTTTAATTGAAAATATTTAGCACATCAAAATATTTGAAATAAAATAGTGCAGTGTATTTACTAAATTCTTACATTTAGTTCTCCGTTGTCCTCTAGCGTTGGATCTATGCAGCTCGCGTTAGTTCGACAACTGCTAACTGAGGTTAAAACATCCCGGATTGATACTAGCCGCCTTAACAAATTTGTGTTAAGCTCAAAAGGCATCGTCGATCTATGGTATAACTAAGAGTCTGGTGTTTCATATCTCGTAGTTTTGAATAATATACAAGTGAAATACGATTGTTAACAGCTTTCTAAGTGGGACCGTAACAAAGCTTTGGTGCAAGAAACTGCTCATTAGCCTAAGCTAACCTAATCTATATTTAATTTTGATAGGAATGGCGTTTTAATGATAACTGTCAAATAAGCCTGATGGAACAATAATCTACTCCATTAAAAAAGAGGAAAGCGTAGATTTTTACTTTTTTAGTATCTGAGATGCTATATCGATATTTCGATTTTGCAGTCTAACTTCGAAAAACGGAGAACTCTCCTTTTCAATTATGACTCAAACTTTCGAAAAAAAATTGGTTTTGTTCAATACCCAATACGTTTCTGACGTATATTGTTGCTATATTCTGCCATCTAAATCTATATAATAATATTGTTATCTAGAGTGCATGCTTAAGTGTTTAAGAGATAACACTTATCTGTCAGAAACCTGCACTAATAAATCTGTTAACAGCTGTTACTATTACGTTAAGCGATTATTATTTGATAGTAAATTTATCAACAATTAATTAACAATTATTTTTGATAACGAAAACAATTAATCAGATAATGCGATTTGGAAAAGATGTAGCTGCGCAAAAATTGCGGACGGCACAACCGAGCGCCTGGTCTGCGTGCTCACTACCATCTTTGATTCGCCTTTTCTTTGCTCGCTATTTTGTTTTTAAATCAATTTTAGCTGTTCTGCAAGACTCGTATCACAATATACTCCCAAAAAGACCCAATTACGTCGCATATTCTCTTCCAAGTCGTCAATCGTCTCGGGCTTTGCTCAGCGTTATCAAATCGCACAATCTTTGAGGCCCACGACGCGAGATAATGCTCTCACCAAAATTTTCATTCAATAAATTGATTGTTCCGCACATCGCCAAAGGTCGTTCACATCAACATGCTCCAATTCAGGCACGTTAAAAGTCATTAATCATGGCTCTATAGCGTTCCCTATTGACTGTAACAATATGAACATTTTATTTTTTGAAGCTTATGACTTGAAATAAATTATAAGTGTTTTTAGAAAGTGTACGTCTCAAAGTTTAGATGTTAGCAAAATGTTGTTTGTGGTGGGAAGCGGAATTTCTCTACCCAATAAAGATGCGTCAGCACACATTTTATTAGCGCAGGGTTGCAAAGCAAGTGTTATCATTTTTATCTACCACATACGGAAAATGGTTTTTAAATAAATAAACCGTAAACTTACAGTAATGTATATCGATACAGATATGTGCAGTTGGGTATAAACACTGAGAGTAAACGCAAAGAAATATTCATGCAACCAAAATCGCTCTACATGAAGCATTTTGTTGTTGTAAGTAAATTCTAAACTGCCAAAGCGATTGCCAGTGCAGCAAAGTGGCAGAGTATCGCCAATAAACCAACACCGTAAAGGGTGCCAGTTACTTATTTATGCAAGTAGAACTTGTGTTAATAAAGATGGCTGAAACTGTGTCGGATTTGTACGAGGGTGCAAAAGTTCGGCAAGTCACAGCAAGTACAAATAGTTTTAGTTAAGCCACGCACAACACTTATGATCGCATATACAAAACAACCTTAAACGCTCATAAGCGACACAGCATAAACTCTCGCAAAGATTGAATGGGTAATCTTTAAAGACTACGCTCTATTGGGTATGAATTAGTCTTCAAGACATACTCGTAGCTTTAGCTTAGAATGAGCTATCAATTAGTCCCTAACGAGAATAGTTTTAGGATATAGTTGAAGATAGCTTAATTTAAACTGTGTTAATATTTATCTTCAATGCTAATATATACAAGATATTACTAAATTTGTACGATTTTTTACGACTAGCCCGAAGTGACCATATTTGTGCCGGCAAACTCTGGGACGGTTTTTTTTAGTCATCGATTTTTTCATATTATAATCCACTGAAAATCGCGACATATAATAAGTGAGAGAGCAAGATAATTTTATTCAATACACTCTTTTTTGTTTTATTTCTAAGCACGGGACGGCCGGAACACTTAACTCGAAATCCGGACTGTGCCGGCATAACCGGGACGAATCGTCAACAAAGACTAGCCTCTCTTTGTAGGCTTTCGGGTTCAAGCGAGTCGAATTATACTCTTCATAGCACGTGCTCAAATGAAAGGGAAGAGTTCGTTCCAGATAAAAAGTTAAAAAATGTCATTAGTCACATGTTTCTTTGCGACTAAACGCGGACTCAATCGGAACTCGTGCATTTTTTGTAGGGTAAATTCTCATATATTTTAATGCAATATATTATACGAATATATGATGCGAGTGAGTTTAAGTACTTGTTTTCGCACAATCCACTAGAGTGAAATCCAAGAAGTTCGGTGCAACATTGCAAGCATTTGTCACCGGTATAGCTTAGAGATGTATTGTAGAATATGGAGACCAAACTGCGATACTAAGCGCATATTTATGTGTGTTAGCTATTTACATATGTAGACTTGTGAGCAAGCATTTTGCACGTGAATAACGGAACATCAATATTGCCACAACTAACTTTCGCTTGCGCTTTTAAATGACACTATCGAGGAAAGTCGGTTTAAAGTCAATTGCAGCGACATCAGCTTAAGGGCATAGTTGCAGCAGCAGTTAGTAGTAAAGACACTAGAAAGTTCGAAAGTAGGTGAACGGTGTCGAGCGGAATTTATCAATTGAAGTATCAAATGTAAAGTAATATTTTACAAAATAACTTTTTTAATAGACAGCTTTCTACTCTTCTTGGTCAGGCAGGTTTTGCTATGTGTTTAGTGGGATTGCCAAGAAATTATCTCTTATGAGCTGCTTTCATACGGCCAAACTCTTAATTTAAATCACTGCTCTCAACAGTTGAACAGTCTGAAGAAATCAAAAGCCCAGAAGTGGCCTGCTTTGATCAATAGGAGCGTAATAATGCGCTATTAGGACAACGCCAGGCCGCACACAGCCTTAGTGACTCGCAAGAAGTGTCGGGAGCTAGGTGGGGCGGTTCCACTTTATAGTTCTGACCTGGCAGCATGATTTGGCTGTTGAGAATCTCACTTCAAGAGAAGCTTGTGAAAATCGACGGCCCCATGTGTTTACCAATAGAGACTAGGCTTTCTATGAGAGTGGCATTATGAAATTTCCTTACAATAGGCAACAAGTTCTCGTATAAAACGATGTATGTTAGACCAAAATCGAATTTTACACTTAGAAAAAATAATGGACTACAGCAGTGGCGCCATACATAGACCCAATGGTTCTTAGTAAGCCAGTTCGAGGTTCAGTTAAATTTCAGCTGAAGTATTCGTCATACAGGACGAACTTTAAGCGCGACTCGATATTTAATTTTGATATTTTGTCCCTTGAACTGCGAAGCTCCTAGCTATCTAAGAAGAGTTCTAGTTAAGGCTGTTTCTCACTGCCATACAACTTTTTTCGGAGGCTACTGAAACCAGGAAGTCCAAATTTAAAAAAAAAAAAAAAAAAGTCGTCGACTATTAAAGTACATTAAATGCTGTATACATTACTTTTTTTTATTTATAAAATATAATAAAATATACGATCTCTTAACTCTAAGTTCAACATATTTTTTTTCTGCTCTCCAACTCTTTTCCTAATCACTGTACGCTTTGGAGCTTTGGTAAGCTCATATAAAGCTTTCAGTAAAAGTGCGTATCGTCTTTAAAATATGCGTTGCGCCCAGTGATCGTATAACTGTTAGCTTTAAAAACGTAAACCGCCCTCACAAAAAGCGCTACAATAAGACACATCTGAAGCTCCAAGCTCCAAGCTCCAAGCAAACACTAAACGAGTATAAAGCTTGCGCTAACCCACAGCCATTACTATACACGCTCCATTCTACTACTCGTTGGCCGCAAGAGCGCAGAAAGCTAAAATAAACGTTGGTCAGTTGAGTGCGGTACCTAGCAGCAAGCGGACGTGTCTTTCTTCGCCGATAGTGAAACTAGACGGGCCGTGGCGATCAAGCGTGTTTGTGTGTGCGTTGTCCAGTGCGTACGTAGCATTTGTTTTTGATTTTTTTTTTTTTTTACACTCGTGCGAATGTAGAAATGAGGAAATAAATATATGCGTATAAGAAAAAAGAGAAAACACAAAATTAAAAGTGACAACTGTGCGATGTGTTTTGCATAAATTTGCTCTAGAATACAACAAAAAAAACGCAGCATAAATTAAGAGAAGAAATTGTGTTTTAATTAAAATTGAGCAAAAAGTGAGCGGGCGGAGAAAGGCGCGCAAAGAATATAGAAAGTGACCTTTGGGTAAAGCACAAATTTCGAGACGGCAACACGATTTCGAAAGCAAGTGACAAGCTGGCGCCGTCCATAACAGTGGTTGCTCCTGTAAATTCAAAATAAGCGCAGCGCATTCAATGCAAGGTAAAGTTTTTGGTTGTTTTTTTTTTTTGCTTTTTTTTCGGTTTACGAAACAAGTTGCACGCATGCGTAGACTGCCATGTCATGTGTAGTTTCCCCTTGCCGCAAACATTGTAAGCGAATTTGTAAAGCAGCCAGCGCTCGTATAAAACACAAAGTAGCCATTGCAGACACGCTCCAAACTTGTTGTTTGCATTTTGTGATTTTGTGGAAAAAAACGCATTATCTTCGTACTGATCTTGCGCTTTGTCTTCAGCTACTTTTGGTACTTTTCCGTAGGTGTGCGTGTGCGCCTATCTCTACGGCGCATATTCGGTTGCAATGCAGTACGTCCTGTTGCTGTGGCCGCTCGCTTCTTTCACTTTTATCTCGGCTGCCTTGCGTGACATGCAGTCATTTATAGTTGCAACCGCTCAACAAAAATACGCGCATGTGCAATTTGCACAGCTGTTTGCCGCAACGCTGTGCGTGATTGCAATGCAGTGTTGCCATATCGCGCGCTTTTTTTTCAGCTTTCTGTTGTGTTGCAGCATTCGCTATTATTAAGTCGTCAAAAAAAATATACTACATAATGAAATGCAGCGACAAGCCACAAGCGAAACAGTTGAAATAGAAAAAAGAAATCGCATTCTTTGGCGTCTGCTCAGCTGGTTGTCGTTGGCGGTATACAAGCAGCTAGCAAGCGGCGATTGCTTAACATAACGTTTATGGTCTCCGGCATTTCTTGCTTTTCGTTTACCGTTTCGCGCTTTATCTCATGCTTCGATTTCTTTGCATTGAATTATGTTTTCTACGCTCGATATTACTCGCATTGTAACGAGTACGAGTACGCCAGTCGCTTATTATTAAGTATTTTATTCATTTTGTGTGAAACGTGTGCGGAATTTTCAATTGTCACTGGTCAGTGTGGCCTTTTGTGTGTTGACGTGTGTTTTCTTTAACTTAGTTGTCATAGTGGTTCAATTGTTAATGGCCCAAATTGTAGGTAACATTGCTGGCGGCTGAAACTTCTATTGCGCACTCAACGAGCTCGCTGGGCGCAGTAGGTACGCCATGAGTTCATTATTTTTATTGTAAACTGAACTCTCTTAAGCAGTACTCGCAATCAAGTGCTCCCTTTCATAAGCTACAATACCTCTTCTAAGTGGTCTTCCAGTCTAGATATTTGAAAAAAAAAATTAAATACATTTTTATCAACTTGGCAATTGTGGTATTTTTAGTTTGAGCGTGACTAATTTCAAACATATTTGTAAAAAAATTATAACAATAATATAAAATTCTTATTAAAAGTATGAGTATATATTATTCTAAAAACAGAAAAAAATATAAACTTTGGCTGCACCGAAGCTATAATACGAAGGTTTTAATTCTTATAATAAAAAAGGGTATAAAAAGATATTTTCTTGATATTGACTCGTCAGTTTGTATGACAGCTATATGCTATATTATTGCGATCTGAACAATTTCTTCGCATATTGTAACACTGCTTAAGATAGTAATTTGTGCCAAATTTCGTAGAGATATGTTGCAAAACAAAAAAGTTTTACATACAGAAACTAGCTTTTGAGCAATCAGTTTGTATGACAGCTATATGCTATAGTGACCCGATATCGCCGATTCCGAACCATGAACAGCTTTTTAAAGTGAAAATAGCGTGTGCGAAATTTTAGATCGATATCTCAAAAACTGTGGGACTAGTTTGCCTATATACAGACATACGGACGGAGATGGCGAAATCGACCCAATTGATCGCAAATTAATTATTTCTGTTATAAAATATCGTTTCAAACAAACAAAGCCTTCAAATCTTTTTTTAGATTGCAAAATATTATTATTATTATTTTTTTATTTTTTTTTTTGATTTGTTGCATTTATTATAAATTTCCCACTGATAAGCCAAGTATATTTAAATCCTTCTCCTTCCATAATACACCACATGCCGTGCTGCTCCCGATCTCTAAATGTCTCTGTCGTAAATAGCGGTTGAATCGGTGTCATATAAGATCTGTTATCACTATATTATCATATGTACGAATATATTCACTATATCTATATATATTATCACTATATACCATAGGTATATATATGATGTTATGTCCACTCAAGCAAATCTGTAAACATGTCATCTGTGGTCCAGATCAAATAGCTGAGTCAAGTTTTGTTGACACGAGACAACTTGTATATATGATTAAATGACAGCTGATAAGCAGAGCTGTCAGTCAGCAAAGTAAATAAGTACATAATGTACATTTATATATAACACATTTTTATATAGCTTGTAATTCAGTTTAGATTGTGAACTGACTGCGAACTAATTAGATTTTATTAATGTATATAAAACATTGTTATTAAATTCCGCTAAGTTGCTATTCATACCGACAGTATCAAATATAATATATAATACATATATGGGCTATGTAGGCGTTCTGCTAAACATATAAATTTGCTTGAACCTATAACAAATATCTAGGAGCAGCTCCGAAAAAAACTGTCTGGCGGTGAAGAAGCGCTTTCTGCTTAAAATTATCTCAAATCCAAAAACGAAAAAGAAAATTATTATAACTGTAGATGAATACAGTTAAAAAGCGAAGTATTAGTAAATATTTAAATTTTTCACTAAATCACGGCTTTCCAAAAAAATGCCCATTTTTGTGAAAAAATTTACACTTCAAAGTGGTTTAAAAATCGATATGATCATCAAGAATCTTATTGATTCGATTCGACAAATATAGCTAAGGAGGTCGTAAGAAAACTTCAAGTCGATCGATTCGGGCCGTTTCGGAGAAATTTTCTTTACCGACTCATCAACTTAAAATTTTCGTAAAATTTTGTTAAATATACTCGTACAATACATATATACATTCGATATACTCGTATATTCAAGAAAATCTATATTTTGAAATTCACAAGTGGCTATAACCCCTTAAATCAACTAGAAAGTCAGAGGTTCTCATATTCGACATACATATGGCGGCAACCTGAAGCTAACATATACACCAGTTACTAAAATTTTTCGAACAGAGTTCCCACATGATAGAGGCACTACTTGTTGTTACATTTCGAATGTGAATTGTGAATGCATGAGTAGTCTATTAGCAAAATAGGCGATGACATTAAAAAAGCTCCAGTTAATTTGCACACAATTCGATCCAAGCCTAACTTGTAGTTATTGTACTTTCAGAAGATTTCTATACAACCGTTACATGTTATGTGGTCGTAGTTTCTATGCTATTATTATGAAGTTTCATCAAGTGATAATAAAATTCCAGAGCTTTCGTAAACAAGTCATCGCATAAATTATAAACTTATATACATAGCATATATGGTATATACCATATACTTATATACCATTCCAACATAAGTTTAAAGTATTTAATATTATGTACTAACGTGCATTTTAATTATAACGTGGGGAAGTAATTACATTTACAAGTATGATATGAGGCATAACAAAATAAATTCATATAAATAACAACTAACGTGCGAATTACGCAATGGTAAAACAGTTTACGACGCAAGAAAGTGCAAAAAGTTGCAAACATACGCAGAAAAAAACAACAGTTTTACGTATATGCGAATTTCCTCATATGAATCCGACTTTATTTCTACCCTGTAGAGAAAATTTAGAAATATTTGTACTAGATATTTACGGTTTCTAAGCGTTTCATATTAGCTGTCTTCAATTCGCAAAGCGAATTTCAACTCTGCGCTAACATGTTCAGCTTTCTTTGATGGTTTGATGATACGTCATATGAACTATTCAAATGCCTAAATTGGTTTAATTCACTTGCTCTCTTTTTCCTTATATACGAACTGATAAACGCTCAAGCATATATAGAGAAAAGGTGGGCACTCTCACCAAAGTTGGTGTTTTGGCTCTACGAAACCATAGTCAAGCCAATAATGCTCTATGGCCATCTCCGGTGCACTACGGACTACAACAACCACAGCACTTAATGCCATTTTAAACATAGCACCCGTGGACATTGCCGGTAGGTGTATGATTGCGAAGTGGCAAAGTTGTATGGAGCAGGAGGGTGAGGTGGAAACACTTTCTCCTGCATTGTCCAGCCTTTGCCCGACTGAGGCTGAAACATGTCGGTAATCTTACCTTCGGCAAAGTAGAATACATAGCCGAAACTGACGTTAGCCGTCTCAAAAAATTTGTTATAGGTTCAAAGCGCTTTGTCGAATTGTAAAAGGCTTCTGATTTATCTGATTTAGTATATAGCAATTCTTAGGTAGCATAACGGACCGGCGTTCTAAGTGTGAGTTCTAAATATGTGAGTTCCCTGTTGGGATCGACGACCTAATTTAAACTAAACTAACCTAACCAGTGTAACTGATTCAAAGAAACAAAGTCCGCCATCAATAATTCATCAGCACATATTTCAACAAACTCCTCAAAGCATAATAAAACGTTAAATCGGTAAAAGTGTTTTAAAGTCTGTTTCGAATATCTTTAGACCTTAAACACGCATACCTCCCTAATACCTAATTTTAATATCAATAATCACAGGAAAGCCGAGCTTTAAGTAACTACCAAGCTGAGTTAAAGTTGTTGATAAGAGTGATAACTCAGAAATAGTGAGGCTGATTTTTCAGTTTCATACCGAAAAAATAGCAGAGAAAATGCCTATATATTTTCTTATTTACAGCAAGCATATTTCATTCAAATCACTGTATATAATATATATGTATTTCCAGTTTCATTAATATCATTTTAATTTAGCTTTAAATTTTGTTGACCATTGAACTGTTTTTTAAAACGCACATCATTTAATTTATTAATTGAATGGCTTCTTTCATTCTTCGCTGACGTTTTTATTTCTCTATAAAGTATAATCTATATACATGCATACATATATACACCTATTTAAATACCGTCTGGTAGTCAATAGATAACAATGAGCTTCTGTGTACGGACAACCTCATTCAATTATGTTTGCCACTGAACTACTGAGAAGCTCGAATTTAATGATCGTTATACCCTAAACAGAGTA